CCAATACTAAATACTTTACAGATGTGGAGCTAATACAATACAATACAATAGCAGATTGTACAATAGCAGAAGAAGGAATACGTTATAGCAAAAAGGGAAATAAATTTAGGATACAAAAAATTAAAGCCCAAACTGCACCAAATTAGTAGTAGTCATAGTATAGTAGTAGTAGTCATAGTATTGGTAAATATTTACAATTATGATGGAATTTTGAATTCTTTTGTATTTTTTATTTAGAGTCACTTACATGCTTTTTGATAACATCATAAAATTACATGGATATGCATTTTTTATCACAATGCAATTACCTTCACACTCAACAAATCAATGTGTGATAATATGGTATGGAATAGAAATACTATATAATCAAAGTAGTCTGAAAAGTCTCTACCGATTTTATGCTTAGGCAAGAAGGTTATTACTAATTCAGATGTTATTTAAAAAACAGTACTGTAGCTGTAAATACAAACCTTGAATCCTTTACAGAAAGAAATGCATAGGAACCCATGAACCCACTACTTAATATAGCATGATTCTGTAAAGCAGCAAAGTATTATTGAAATAAGGGCACTACAAAACTGAGTAAATTAGCAAACTACAGCAAATTAACAAATTAGATCAATGAGGTTTTATGTCATAGTATCTTAATCAACAGTAGTGTTGCTGTACTAAAGGAGTTAAATATAATGACCCTTCACATAACACTGCTTTGTTTTACTGAACGCCAAAATAAATATACAATAAATATACAGCATATTTAGCAATTAGATGACATCAGAACTCACATCTATAAGATCTGAACTGGAGGCCATCATTTTATCTGATACCATCTTATGGTTGTCCTAGTCAGTAAACTCACAATACGTCAGGTATTTATTTTACCAGTCTTAAAAATAACTAGTGCTGTATTTCAATATTTTTTAATACTTCTATCCTATTGATACATTTGGTGGCAAATAAAATGGAGTCTACCTCTAATCACTTATTAACAATATACTATTAATCTAACACTGAAGTGGGAAGTACTTCATTCAAATACTATTTTTGAACATAAATCAAATGCTTTTTTAAAAAACCAAACCGCTAAAATTGCAGAGTTCCCATTCCTAGGAACATGAATTATTAGTCAGAATGGCATGCACGGAGAATATTTTAAACAAAGTTCCCTTTTAAACATCAAGAAGGCACAGCAGCTGCTTAATCGTCTCAGTTGGATTCAACTGCCAGTACACTTCATTAATTTATGTAAACCTCGCACTGAACAACCTAGGCCATCCTAAAATGTACAGTTGCTAAAATCTGTTAATACAAATCAAGGCTGAGAAATTCCTTCTTGACACCCAAACACCAGATAATGGACAGAATTTACAAATCCCCTAACAGCAGTTATGCTTAATTCTGTTATGTGCATTCAAAGTCCATTTCAACAAAAGTTGAAGCAAAAGTTATTTTCCCTCTAGTATCTCCATTGCATCAATTCACTATAGGTTATGGAAAGTATATGTAAATGTACCATCCAACACAATTTTATATATGTATGTATGTATGTACAGTATATATGTATGTGTGTGTATGATATATATGTTAATTAATAGTAATTTCAGTTTTATTTTTTATTTATTTATTTTATATGCCACCCATCTCCCCCAGTTTTCACTGGCAATGATCACTATCCAGAACAAAACAGGCCTACTTTTTTTCCCCATTTCTCAATCATTTGAGATGATTTCTCTATCATACAAGGATATATCTGCAACATATAACATATTTTTAATAATGGGAAATGTTAAAATCATTTGAGAAGTTATATTCCATACGCTGAAGCCCCTTCTCTGAGAGAAAATAAAACAGAAGTAAAGAGCCAATATCTACATAAAAAATATTTACTCCCTGGTCTTCCATGCACTATTATGCACTTTTTATCACCAACTTCTGCAGCTGGCAAAATGTCACATAACATAATCTGATTAATCAAAAACTCATTCTTTGCAGAAAGTATTTGACACTTTCAATCAACCTGTCAGCTAAAATATTCAGCTACCGAAAAAGGCATTTCCTTTTAATTTGGTTTATTTAACATTTTGCTTGAGCAACTGTTACTTTAAATATTCTAGAAGTAGTTTCCTTTAATTTGATTACTTACAAAATAAACTGTCAAAATAGGAAAACAGTTTAAAAGTTTCATATTGAAATATACTGTAAAGCTGGAATTCCCTGGCTACTTACCTAGAAATAAACATGCAATGGGACTTCCTTCCAAACAGAAATAATAGTTCTGCACTGTACAGGCTTGGTCTTTTTCACATGCCAACAAACTTCTGAAAACTGTGTATATGTAATTATAGTACCATGAATAGGATTACAAGTCAGCAAATGTATATTATTATTGACTTCATTTTATCTTAACAATTCAATTAATATAAAACGGTTATGAGGAAACAGTTTAACTATCAGTATACTCTGCATTAAGTAACTGTGGACAAAAAAGTATACATTTATCTTTAGTAAGATAAATATGCTTGAATCTACAGTTCAGTCAAGTGAAATGAATGGGTTTTACTTTCAAGCGAACATGATTTATGACTATGATGCAAGTAATCTGCCAAAATGAATCCACCATTTTAGAATATAACAAGGAATATACAGTTTACATCTAATTTTCAAGTTCCTTTGGGCTTTTCCTACTTGCACCTAATGAGGGTAATCACTGTTTTTCTGCCATGTCCCCATAACACTACCTTTATGTCATAACCAGCCCATGAACAAGACAAGTATATTGAAGTAGTATTTCCCCTTTATTCCAACACTATCCAAGGGCAGCTTCACACTATAGTATAAATCTGTTAGGCTTTGTCACTAATTATCTTGGAGGGAAGCAAGTCAACAAAGGCAGGAAAAGGAATTGGGATCAGCAGGGGAGACAGCAGATTCCACATCAGTATAGTGTGAATTCACAATATTCCCAAATTTTACAGAATAACTCAAGGATGGGTGGACAGCACAAGAACATGTGGAAATAGCTTTTAATAACTACTAAGAGGGGAACAGACTATATAGTCCAATGGGTATTTAAGTATCAGTATATTGAATAGCAGTTAGTCCCAACTAGTGTCTATGATCCTATCTATCTATCTATCTATCTATCTATCTATCTATCTATCTATCTATCTATCTCTTATTCACATGTACATTTCAGCATTGTATCCTTAAAGTAAGTAAACCAGTGATTACATTACATATAAAGTTTTATGATGTTTTTGGATTATTTCAGAAGAGTTCCATTCAAAATGAAGTTAGAACATCTATACCTTAATGAGGAAGAGATTCCCAGAAGAAGAGTAAGAATAGAGCAAGCCAAGGTTTTTCCAAAGTTTAAGCAAGAGAACACAGAGCACATCTGTATTTTCCAAGCACAAGCTCCACAGATGTTATAAATTACTCTCTTTTTTCAGTTGTCTGTCTAAAAAGTGTCAAGTTAAAAAAGTTCAACAAAGACTGGAAATTTTCACAGCAAGAGTTGTCAACAATTGCATTCAACAGCACTGGATTTGTTGGATGAATGAATGATTTAGAGAAAAAAAATGATGATACAATCTATTATATTCAACACTGTTTTAAATGAACTATAGATCAGGCTGTAAAAATAAAGTTTATACAAGATAAACAAGACTGCCCTGCATTTAAATCCAAATACTTAAACTTATCTGTTAATCAGATCAGTTTACTAATCTACAGTCCACGTTTTACAGTATTTGCTTAGTATTCCTATTGATTTCAATGGCAGACACCTAAGTAAATGTGCGTAGAAAAACAGATCTATCAATTTTAGTTTATGCAACAGGAACTATAACTCAAAGCTTATTTTTAACATTGTGTTAGGTTGGGAAAAAATTGAGATTTTTTAACTCTAAACTGTTAAAATGGGCATATAAAAATATGGAAAACAGATCTTATTTCTCAAAGCCAGTTAAGCATTTATTATTCAGTGCATTTTTGGCTGTTATCTTTAGGGTCTGAAATTATCCTCAGTCAGATTTAAAGATACCTCAATTGATCTTTGATTAAGCCATACCATGGAGGTATTATCTGCAAACCACTGGGCGAGTCAGTGTACAATTTACTTCCAGTATACATTACTCTCCCCAATACAAATAAAATGCTAGCAAAAGTTCCCAGAGAAGAAAGAAAAAGCAGGCTTCCACTGAACAAGCTTTTAGAAAAAAGATCTGCACTCAAAAATCAGAATCAGACCTTAGCCTTCCAAAATGATTTCTATTTATGAGAGAGAATGCCAGAATATAATCTATTCCTGCCTTCTTTCGCCCCCATAGATCCCAAAGCATGTCTTCTTACTATACTTCTTTTGTAGGAGGAAAAAAGGTGTGGGATTGCCAAGGGCACACAAAATATCTGCTCAGCATCCCTGCCATAGATGAGTTTGTCTTTCCTCGGCTGAAAAGTTATCATTTGAGGAATCAAAAGTTTTCCCGTGACTGGATCCTTAAACTACCCTTTACAGTCTTTGGGGAAAAGGTCCTGTAACTCTTTCAGCCCATTCCGTTTACAGAAAGAGCTAATTTCCTTTAACAAATATACACTCTGGGTTCGAGAAACGCAGTAACTACTCTTCGGTTCAGGTATCTGCAGCCAGATCCTTGACAGCGGGATTTCCTGCCCAATAAATCCCGCAAAAGGTGGTGTAAACATTAAAGGACAAGCAGCCTTAAGCCCTCTGCCTTGGAACTGTGTTTCTCTGAAATCAGTCAAGTTAATCCACGTTGAGCCTGCAAACTCGGCAGAGTTTCAACACGAGGGTTTCCCCAGCAGCTCTCTATGGAGCCAGAACCTACGTGTGGTGCTAGGGCTGTAGCGCAGACCCCGAGGAACCAGAAGAAGGGGCTTCTGGCCAAGCACAAAGTGTCGCCCCGCCCCGTTGTATTTCCAGGGACCCGAGTTGCGCCTCTAGGCAAATTCAGCGCACCCCGTCCCCTCTTACTCACAGGGAGACGGTGCGGTTGGGCAGCAGGGAGGGATGCAAAGTTTCCGCCAACTCGCCTCCGCTGCAGACAACTTTGATGCGCAGGGTTTGCCGGCCCGGTCCCTTGGAGCGCTCGGCGGTGCAGAGGCAGCTGTCAACGACGAGGTCCGGGCAGTTCCTGTTGGCCCTCGAGAACCCCACCGCGGCGGCCGCCACCAAGCAGAGGGAGTAGCACAGCCCGTGCATGGCGAGGAGGCGGCGGCGGCGCCTCGGTTCTGCTGAGTTGGGGCGGCTCTGAGCAGGAGGCGGCGGCGCTCATGGCATGGTCGGCGCGCGAGGCAGCCCTCTGGAAGCGAAAGGGGGTCGCTGTCCACCCTCGCGCCTCTTCCTCCTCCTCCTCCTCCGCAGTGGGCCACGGACGAGAGGCGCCCCCTCACGTCGGCACCGCCGCTTCCCGCCTCCGAATCTCTGGGCGGACCACACGGAGAGAGCTTTCGCGGATGAAGTGCCTCCCACCTTTCGGTCGTTGAAGGAATTATTTTTCTTTATTTTTTTCCCCAAGTGTTTGTGGTGGGGGGGGGGGCGTCTGTTGCCTCCGAGGGACGCCCCCCCCAGGAGACAGCAGCTGAGGTCAGGCGGACCCTCACGGGACTCTGGCGCGCGAGTCGGGCGCACAGACCACGCGCCTTCCCCAGCTGGGGGCGGCAGAGTCCAGGGGTCTTTTCGCAGAGCAACGTGGACTCTCCTGCTGAGCGGGGAGCCACCGTTCACAACAGCGTGGAGGAACAAGTGTTTCTGTGGAAGAGCAATCTTAGATAGGACTGCTCAGAAATAACCCCCCTTGCGTTCAGTGAACACTCCTTCCAGACAAGGGTGTGGCAGTAAACCACGGTTTGCTGTCAGGTGGACCCAGGTCTGAATGAGATGGGCTTCCTCTCCATAGTCGAGTCTCTCTTGGCTTTGATTCCCTGAGATCCAGCTATGGATACATAGAGGGAAGCCTTCTGCACATGTCCAGCCTTCCCATAAGATAGGACCCACACTATTCATTGCATGGGGCAATTGCATAAATAGGACTAATTTCCTGCAAAAAACTGCCTTCAGTTTCTTCATTCGACCAGCATCCACAATTGCGTATGGAGAAGGAAGCTTATGAGTGCCACTCAAGGTCAGCTTTGGCTATTTGGCCTTGTGAATGGAGTCTCTTCCTGGTTTCCCTGCTCCCTCCTGGAGACCCTTCCAGGAGGGAGCAGTGTAGTACTTAGCTATGCAGAGTCGAAGAAGAGGACCGGCAGCGCTTATTTAAATAATTTAAAATAATTTAGTGCCATATCCTTTCTAGCCCATTCATAGGACTATGAGATCTAAGCTGCAAAATTTCAGAAAACCACCAGCTGCCAGCAAAGAAATTCAGAAACTTTACTTCTTTGTTGCTATCTAGGGGAGGTCTAGATTTTTGCAGCCCAGATCTGATATTCCTGTTTATTCATTAGTAAATAATTACAGCAGTGTCATTACTTCTACATTGTCTCCTTTCTCCTCCCCAAATCATATAATCGTGCTCCTTATTTATTTCTTATTTAGATTAGAAAAATCAGTTTCTAAAGCTGCCTAGTCAGCAAGACAGTCAAGGCAGCATGCAAAGAGGAATAAAAACACATTATAACAATAAAAAGGACAGAAATGATAACTGCATCAGGCAAGTACCAAAATTTTAAATCCTGTCACATTGCAGGTTCAGAATTGCTGCAGCCCAGAATTGCTGTTGACCTAAATCTTGGATAGTAACATAAAACAAGCAGGTGCAAAGTACCCATGGCAAGATCAGTGTCTAGTGGATCCATACTTTAGAACAGTGTTTTCTAAAGTGTGGCCCTAGGACCCCTGGGGTCTCCCAAGACCCTCTCAGGGGTCCTCAAAGCCAAAATTATTTGCCAGCCTATGTTGAAAAATATTGTAATACAATATTAAAATCCCATCAAACAATCGTGAGAAGCAGCAGCAGCAGCAGCAAATGTGTCAATTTTAATTTTTAATA